TAAGATAACCTTACTTTTATTACTGATTTGTTGTTATTCACTTGCAGTACCACTTGAAGTTGAAGTTTCCATGCTGAAATAATAAATTGAAAAGACATATCTAAAACTTAACAATAAAATTTTCGATGTGTGTTTCTTATAAGAAAGAATACCGGCTTTATATAACATTATATATAAACCAGAAATTCTTCCAAGGGAATATGTTTAAAACTTCAGTAGATACGACATTATGAAACGTGGTAAAAAATATAATAAACGTTCATGAACTCGTTTTGCAATAAACATAAAAATTTTGCCAGTCATTTTCCTCCCAATCATCAAAAACTTCGGCGTATGATTATAAATCGTCGCGTTGAGAGAACAGCGATTCTTCCATGCGTTTAAAAACATTGTTCCTTGTTTAAGATGCGCGTTTATGCTGAAATTGTAATTCGTAGTTGTACAATACGTAAATATTGTCTCAAACAATCCACTAAATCTGAGTCTTCTATTATTAAATAGGTGTCTATTACAACCGTCGCAAAATATGCAAGTGTGAACAAGAGCCATTATTCTTTGTCAATAGCCAACGCCGACGTAATACTTGAAAATTTCGTTTCGTGGCGTCTAGATTGTGTAGGTCATTCTATTGAGTTAATTACCATTTTTTCGGTTCTCAGATCGCCACTTCACACAAGGCATGAATGTGTAAAATGCACAATTTCACAAACAGAAACATTATTTGGGTAAATGTTTTCACCTGTTTTTCTTGTGCCCCTAAAATCACAATAGGTTTCTTCAAGATCTTTTGATCTTTTCTCGAGATCAATGCAATTGCTTTGCGTCGGAAAAGGGTTTCTGATGCTTTTTAAATAGTAGTTCTTATTACTGAGAGAGGCAGAATAAATATTAAAATCGACTTCGGTGATCTTCGCACATAATTGAAATGTGTGGGTTAAAAACAAGATTGAAACACTTGATACGCTAGGCACTATGATAGATACAATAAAAATATTGAAAAATGTTTATGTTTCTCTCAGCCAAATAAGAATAATTATATAACGCGTTGGTCTCTTGTCAAGCAAAATGAAGATCTTCAAATATAATGAATGTAATACTCTTCATTTTCTCTTAGATTGATGTTTATGAAATCTCAGCTGAAAAAAAAATCAGGAAAGCAAAAATATCTGACTTACCTTCGCGGAAACCGGAAGCATGCTTAGAGACAAGAGTTCCGACCACTTACCTGAAACAAAGAAATATTTATTTGACTAATCTAAAGCGAGATTAATTAAATATATTAACAGAAAATATACATAAACATAAAAACACATAACATATAAGAAAAGGCCAAAATTAAATTCGAAAATGAGTGGGCAAAATTTCCTGAGGAGACTATAGACAAATAGTGAACAACGTTTTACAGCTCTATAATAAAAAAAGGATTTTTCTTCATTATTTACATTTGTGGTTAAATGCGGCATCTTCAGATAAAAACGGTCATCAAATTAATAAATAGATTGATCAAAATAGGATTTATAATAAACCGTACAGACAATGAAGCAGTAATGTTATATTGAATCACAACTTCATGTTTGAAAGAAACGGTATCAATGAAATATAACTTTCAGACAGTACAGTAAATCATAAAGCTCTTTAATCAGGGTAAAGCAAAAAATTCGAAACAATAATAAATATTATATTAAAAATAATATCAAGAATATATCAACAAAAAGTTATTTTTTTTAGAATTAAAAAAGTTATAATTACAACACGCAATTTATGTAAATAAAAAAACACTGATGAGGTACGAAGTGAAAACCAGAAATAAATTAGATAATTTAAAGATAACAAGAAGAAAACAACCATGAGTTTATTATCAAAAATACATGTAAAATATCATTGCTCATTGAAACAAATTAAAAACGAAAAACATGTACACTTCAATAAAATCGTCACAAATTTGGATAATAGAAATGTCCACCATCTGCGCGTTGTAATGCCGACCAACAGGCTGGAAGTGACTGTTATTTATAGAAGGTAACAGGCTAGTGAAATAAGGGGTGAAGGAGAAGAATACAGGACGAATTAAGTGGAACAGAGAGGAGATGATAGGGAGTGAGGGGAAATGGCGAATAAAGAAGAAAAGAAATAGAATTACAATATACAGGTGAGTGAGGAAACTTTAGCACCTCCACTAATTTTTGAACAGTTAAAGTTATTGCAAAGCGGTTGTCATAGAAGTGCAAGAGGGAATGGGGCTAGTTTAGACGTATATTCATTTCAATTTTATCACTTGTTTTTTACCGAGATTGTGAGGTAACCTTGTTTTGTTGTTTCAAATGGAACTACACATATTTTTTAGTCTATCATGACGAGCTTAAAAAGATGAATCCCGTGATAAACATATTGCCATACGTTAGATAAGCATATTTTGAGTAATTTTGATTGTGTTTGACGGGTGTTGTAACGCTCCGAACGCACGTTGGAAGGGAGAGCGCTGCATGACCTTGAGTGGTGGACTGTTACATTCAAAATATACGTTAAATACGAGTCGCAAAAAATCAAAATTACTCAAAAAATGTTTATCTAATACAGCAATACGTATACCATTAAATATGTCTTTTTATGTTCGTGATGACATACTAAAAATATGTATAGTTCTATTTGTAAAGAAAAGTTACCTCAATATCTCGTAAAATATAAAATGTAAACGAATACATACATCAATTACCTCAATTTCCCCATTCATTTCCGTGAAAACTGCTTTGCAATAATTTCAACCGTTCAAAAATCAAAAACCGGGAGAGATGGCTCAGAGCATCAACTGTCACTGCAGTCCCTCTGAGGTCGAGTCCCGACGGTGGCAGGATTTTCAACACTAGCTTATTAGCTAGGTCGAATTCAGTCGCTGTCTGGAAGAGAATTCTAGCGGCCGGCTGCTCAAATCGGTAGTTTTCCATAGTTTCTCCGATCAACACCAGGCGAATGCCGGAGCAATACCCTAACAAAAGGGGCCATGGACCGCGCGCGATCTCACTTTCCTCTTCCCTGTCCTATCCTCACCCCTTACAGACACACTTACACTAACTTCCACTACACTACCCCACATGCTAGGAGGAGACCCGTCAGGAGGTAAGAGATTGTCCCGGCTGGGCCGGGCCCCGCTGGTGGGAGGTACCTGGTTAGGGAAAGCCCACTGTAGGTCGCCACCAGATCTCTCCATACAGCGGGGGAAAGATTACCTCCACCTCCCGAAAAAAAAAGAAAGAAAAAAAAAGTTGCATTACACGTACGAGACTTATGACGTGCTTGGTAGTTCGTGCTCGGAATCACTAAACTATCAAAAAATAATTACAAGAGGGACTAAAGTTACGTGATTCACTTTGTATATTTCAACAACAAATATATTATGCTGGGACGGTAGGTTTTACTTTACTTAGTAAGTTACTATATGATGAGGCGCTTAGATTGAATTTCAGATTTGAGTTAATGGTATCATCTGTAAAGATTCAAAGATAATTGTTTAGAACAAATTCAGAGAGAATTAAAAATCCAAAAATTAGAAGAAATAAGAGCGATATTAACAAAATATTTCTACAAAAATGTGTATACCTCCCCAAGTACCATCATCATTAACATGAGAAAAACGTAGTCTCTCCATGCATAAAATCAAGATTTCCCAAAGATAAATTCAAACCTCAGTAAATCATAAAACCCTCAACTCCTAAATATAAGCATTCATCTTCCTCTTTCTAATAAACAATCAATTTAATCAACAATTATATCAAAGTACAAACCACTCAAAACATATGCATGGGCATTGCAAAACTTTCATTGACTGTCTTATGTAATATTAAAGGTTGAATGACTTTATTGTCGAACAAGAAGAAATAAATTTAAAACAAAATTCTGAAATAATGTCTTGGATATATCTTTTTATTTTTTAGTATCCAAAAAAGAAATATACGAAAAGAGAACGGTTTTATTTTGTGAAAGAAATCTACCACTGTTGAAAACCTTTTATTTTGCTTCCTGGTCTATAAATAATGCAAGTTCATTCGTAAACACAGACAACGAGCTTACAAATGAACTAGATACTTTGACTAAGCCAATTATTATCAGTAAGAAAATAAGTAAGAAAAATAGAATTCAAATGCGTTTCATGAACATCTGGATTGTGACTGGATCTGGATGGAATTTTATACTGCGGTCTACTAAATTATCTGATTGGCATAGGAAAAGAAGAATATTAGTGTTCTGCCAGAATCAGAATCTTTCCAGAAACAATTCGTTTTATTTTTCCTTCGTTGTATATTACAGTATCATCTAGGACATTCAGTTTTATTCACTCCTTCGAATGTAAATTGTCATGTTAGACCATAGGCATTGAAGGCATACCAAAAATTGTTAAATTCAACGACGCAGTATTAGTCGTCCACGAACCTCTTAAAAAATAAATGTTCTAATTGAGAGAGGATACATTCTTCCAAGCTTTTCATTACCAGCAGAGCAACTTTCCCACTGAGCATTTTCTCTTTGCTGTTTTATATTGGGTATTCTTTCTCCATCTGCTCAGATACTTCAGTACACGAATATGAAAATGGAAAAACTTTAAAATATGACGGAAAATGGAAAGCGACAATGAAAAATATTAAGCATTTCACTATTATCACGAAAGATCAACACCAGCAATGATCACGCTTTCTCATTCAATAGAGAACAGCATCTTTTGCATGTATTTGAGCTCAGCATTCCTGAATAGAAAGAAAGGAAGAACAGTGGGAACGGTATGACTGGTAGGGACTGTAACACAGGGGACGTGTTCATTTGCAGCACAATAAAAACTCTCAGGATGTACGTATAACGTTTAATACATGGAGCAATCACAAATGAATTACAATGGCGTGAAATAAATACATTTATGACAATGAACGTCGAGTGCGGGAGCGAAGCGCGGCGCGGTGCAGTCTCAGGCGTGAAGCGTGGGAAAAAATGCAGAAGGTGGCGGGCGAGGGGCCTTAGCCGTAGTAAGCCTTAGCGTACGCGGGGGCGCCGTAGGCGACGGGAGCGTGCGCAACGGCCACGGGGGCGGCGACCTTAGCGACGGCAGCGACGGCGGGCTCACGGTGCACGACGGCGTTGAAGCCGTTGACGGGGTCGGCGGTGTACTCAACGGTGCGGCGGGTGCCGTCGGGCTCAACCAGGGAGTAGGCGCCCTGCACAACATCGCCGTCGCGGGT